TGCATAGGGTCGCTATGAGTCGGAAACGACTCGACGGCACATAACAACAACAACAACTTATTTATAAAAGTGCCCATCATTGACTTTCTAAAGTGAAAATTAGATGGCCCTTAAAAGGAACCCTTTCCTAAGTAACAACTTTTATGAAAGCATTTAAGTATCATATTCAAAGTGAGTATTTTGAAAGTACACTCAGTTTCAAATTTGATTAATTTTGCTATATTTGTAAAAAAAATTTCTTGAGTGCTTCATATGAGACAGCCACTTTCTTAGGACTTTTAAAATACATTTTAAATCAGAAGAGGTCATTTGTTTGGTCTGTTAAAAACATGAATGAAGTGTAAATTAATCTCTTAATGGAAAATCAAATTAGAAATAGAATCTTTTGGGTTTTGGTCTTTGCCTCCTCCATCTGTGCTTCCTGGCTTGAGTTTCATTTTTAAAATAGGATCTTTAAGATCTTTGTTTAGAGATTTTTAAGATCTAATGCAGTGATAGGATTCAAGAACTCTAACCTTAAGACATATGTGTATACACATACACATATATGTAGAGATCTGCAAAGGCTCTAAATAGCAGAAGAAAATGTTGAACTTCCTGGGCAATCAGAGAAATTCTATTTTCTAACTGTTAAATTGGTAACAAGTAAAAAAATCAAAGCTGGATAACACATTGGTATTAAAGCTGGATAACACATTGGTATTAAAGCTATGGGAAAATTATACATTCTTTTATACTGCTGGTGAAAGTGTAAAATGGCACAATTCTTACGGAAGACAATTTGGCAGAAGCTAGCAAGAAACCCTGATAATATAACTAAATAGAAGAGAGTGTTAAAAATAATCCAAGAATATTTTAACTTTGTATACATTCAATGAAATATATCCTAAGTACCACAAAAAAATCACAAAATTATTAAATATTTTTTCAGTGAGTGTTGTTATAGTGATACCGGAGCAGCAATTTTAAAACTATTTTATATGCATTTCATAATCGAGCAAATGTATCAATATATTGATGTTCTTGGAATTGGAATTCTCACAATGAATGAAGGAAGATAAAATAATGGAAAGAAAAGCATATGAAAGAAGCTCTTGGTGTTAGATAGGAACATTAACTCATATTTTAATAAATCTAACTATATATATCTTGTCGCTCATAAGGCCTAGTGCAATGGCACCCAAGTAGTAAGGAGTAAAAGTATTTTAGGGTAAAGTGTCAGATACCTGACACTCATCCTCAAATGATTCAGCAATCCCTACCCCCTCAAAAACCAAACAAAATAAAACAAAAGCCCAGGATAAGATAAAGCAAATATGGCAAATGTAAATAATTGGTGAAGATAGATGAAAGGACTATAGATATTCATGGGATGTACTTACAACTTTCTTAAGTTTGAATATTTTCAAACACAAATGCAAAAGAAAAAAAAAGACAGAAGTAAAGTTGAAACATGTAAAGAGATAGCATATTTTTTAAAAAAAGAAAGATATGGCAGGGCTTAGTCACAGAGTTTTCAAACTGTTAATCATTATTTCATGTAACAGGAGCCTTCCTGTTTGTAACTTCTGAAAATTTACAGAATTAGAGAAAATGGCTAGTACCTTTGATGCAATATAAAGATTACATGACTAGCAGATTTTTAAAATCTATATATGGAATATAACATTTTCTATCTATTCAACAACTTTGATTTAGGCAAAAGTATTCCACAGCATAAAGTTGAAAAGAAAAATGTGAGCATTTAATACAATCTCAGTATCTTTAAAGATTCATTTTTAAAAGATTGCTTAGAAACACAACCAAAATTGTATGCCAGTAGGTCTGCATCCACATACAAAAATAAAGATGTGATGAGAACCATTATTAGAAGTTGAAAGTTAATCCTTTGCTGAGTTTCTGTCTCCTGTCACATGTATCTTCTGGGTAACCCCTTTCTTTTCTAAGATGTCAGTCACTCTCTAGTTCTGGCTCTCACTTGAACTACAAACAGACACGACCTTCTGCCTGCTGGGCAATCTAACCCGCACCAAAAGACTGCAAATTTAACTTGGCCAAAACAAACCACCATCCCTACTCATCCTACTCTCAAACCATGCTCTATAAACCTGCTTCGACAGTTGGATCACTATACCCCTAGTATTCTAACCAGAAACCTTAGTTTTTGTTAGGTGCAATCAAGTCGAGTACGACCCATAGCAACGATATGAACAACAGATCTGAACCATATCCTGTCCTGTTCCAGCTTCACAATCTCTGACACATTTGAGGCCATTGTTGCAGTTACTGTGTCAATTCTCCTGGAAGTTCTAGAGTCACTTGAATTGTTACCTCTACCTCATTTCCCATATTTCACAGGCCACTAAATGCTATTGACTATAGTTCCTTGAATCTCTCTCCTTCATTCACCCTATGACCAGTTACTGGATGTCACGGAGTCTACTCTGACTCACATGACCCCATATATGCCAGTGTAGAACTGCACTATAAGGTGTTTGATGACTGATCTTTATAGCAGTAGATGGCCAGGCTTTTCTTCTGAGGTACTGCTAGTAGGTGGAAATCAATTTCCAACCTTTCCATTTACAGCCGGGAGCTTAACTATTTGCACCACCTGGGGACTTTTGCTCACCTGTTGCACCTGTATTAATTCAGACCTTTATCAATTCTTGCTTTATCACAAACATTTTCAATCTGACCTGTTTGACACTAATACAGCCAGTAGCCAATCTACACAGCATTTTGGTTATTCCTAAGTGAAAAATGAAGCAAAATCCCCCCACTTGCCTAAAAACCTCATTGGTCTTCCTTCTTTGTTATAAATGAATGTCTAGAGTATAAAATCTTCTTTTAAAATTTTTCTTTTTTAAAATTGTGATTTGATTGAAAAGTTTTATTCCATAATATCAATTATAATACCCACAATGTCTGATCATCCATTCATTCTATACAATTTTTCTTTCACTTATCTTTTTCATCTTCTTAAAGGAGCTCTGGTGGCCATGTTGTTGTTGTGTACCGTCAATTTGGAACCGATCAAAAACTGGTGGGTTTTCAGAGGCAGTTAATCGAACTGGAAGAGACTGTCCCTCCTTCTCCTGCTGAGCAGCTGGTGGACTTAAATTACGTGCATTCCAGACTGTAGTGCAGGTTCTCACCAATGGCCTAGTGGTGATAACTTGTGCTGCAGTCACGCCTAAAGACTCATGGTTCAAGTCCACCAGCTGCTCCACAGGAGTGGGATTGGTAATCTCTTCCTGTAAAATTAATGGCCTCTGAAAACACACTGGAGGATCAACAATAGGTCAACTCTGACTTCTGTACACAACAACAATAATGAAGATCTAACTTTCCTCTTAGGGTGTTATTATCCACACCACCTCCACCTATCAACCTACACAAACATATATTCTCTGGCCTATTATAGATTGAATTATGTACCACTCCAAACCCCCCCACACATACGAAAATAAGTGTTCCAACTTAACCCCTCTACCTGTGAATGTAATCCATTTGGAAGTAAGATTTCCTTTATTATATTAATGAGGCCATGCCAGTGTTGTCTCATACTTAAGGATATACTGACATACTGTGCCTGGAGAAAGGCATCACACTAGGAAAAGTAGAGGGCCAGCTAAAAAGAGAAAGACCCTCAACAAGATGAGCCGACACAGTGACTTGAACTTGAGCATGGCAGAGATAACGAGGAAGACACAGGATAGGGTGCAAGGTTTCCATTGGCACCTACCAACAAAAAGTCTAGGCTATGTCTTAATCATGCTGAGTTTTAAGAAGCAGCATAGACATGGACAAGCAAGTACAAAGGAGCAAAGGGAGTGGCTATCTGATGACTACAAAGGCAGTGAATCTCTGAGCACAGGAACTCCCAGGATTAAGGATTACTGCAAGCTGAAGTAGATGAAGAAATATTTTCCCTTGCTGCTACTTTCAGAATTCAGATTTCGAGTGTTTCAACTTTGGGAACAAAAAAAAACAAACCACAAAACACCACACACAAGTCAGTTCTTTTCTTTAAAGTCATTCACTTGCAGTATTTTTGTATTAATAGCAGTGTTAGATAAGCAAGAAGGGTGCATAGTCTGCAGGGAGTTGCCCTGTTAATAACCCAAAGGCTACCTACCCCTCTGGCAGTTTGACTCTGTCAGCAGCTTTCTTAAAGAAAGATAGTCAATCTCCTCTGGTGCTGGGTACAGCCTCTGAAAATCTGTGGGAGCATCAGTTATGAGTCAGTTCTGACTCAATGATAATGCAAAAAAAGAAATGTAAATAGGATTATTTCTCACCTATGTGTACTAGGGCCTTTTTTCCTTTGGGGTGTGTGTGTGTGTGTGTGTGTGTGTGTGTGTGTGTGTTGTTGTGTGTTTGTATATTATTGTATTTCTTCTGGAATGTCCTTCCTCCCATATCTCCATCTCTTAAAAAATTAAGTTTTCTAAACACAAATTTCATAAAAATTTATTGCTGTGGCGTTAAAACCGACTCACAACTGACCTTTGGTGGGTTTTTTGGAGGCTGTAAATCGGACAAGAGGAGAATGGTCTACCTTTCTCACTTAGAGCTGCTGCTGGGTTAGAACAGATAGAGAGGCACTGCTTTGGGGTTAGCAGTGCAGCTTTCTAGTGGTTTTGCGCCTAGAGCTCCTAGTAAGTGGCAGCATTACCATTTTTGGTGAAACTTTCCCAGGACTGACTTCTCTCCACCCTCCCCCACCCCCCAAGAAATCTAGCTTCTGTATAGTAATCTATCTAGAGCACCTTGTGTATATTTCAATAATATTTTACTGTTTATATTAGACAGAGGAGAGGTTCTTTGAGAATAGTCGAATACATTATTTAACATCATGTTCAGTAATTAGCATTGGACTTAACTCAGAGTAGATGGATTTTCCTTAAGCCGAAGTATTTAATCAATTAATTGAAGAAATGAGTAACTTGCATGCATAAACATAGATGCTAAAAATCATAAAAACTTTATGGTTCTCTCAGTCATAAAAATAACATTAAATTTCATTTCTGCCAGTGCTTAAACATTTGAAATTCCATTGTTTGTACAATGGTATTTTTATTCTTAGTTTATATTCTAGTTATGTGTTGCTTCTTTTAGGCCACTGGATTTAGCAAACCTTGGTAAACTAATAATAGAGTGATATTTATCTGTGCTAAGGGAAAAATTGCTGACTAAAATCTGGCTGTGTATATATGTGGGTAGGGAAAAAATCCTGGTTTTTTTAATATACTCAATCTCTTTTCTTTATTTTCACTATAGAAAGAAAAATTATGTTAGACACTAGTCCATTTGGACATGCCACACATAGTTACATTTACAGAAGTGGGTTTTTGCTTTTCTTTATAGATAACAATGATGGGAATATTGATGGTTGACTCAGGCAAGGGGAGACACTTTGACCAAATAAATAACTACAATGTAAATTTATAGATACCTAAAAGTAATTAAATTTCCTGCATCAAAACTCCAAATGACACTTAAAGTAGACAAAGTTCTTATGTGAGTTTATTTTTTCCCTAAGAACAAGAAATAGAATGTGATTTTTATATTATATGTATAAAAAATAATTATTGCTATGGAGTCCGAATTGACTCATAGCTGACCCTCCAGCAAGTTTTTAGAGGCTGGAAATGGCACAGGAAGAGGCTATTCATCTTTCTTCTGCAGAGCTGGTGGATTTGAACTGCCTGTGTTTGGATTGGAATGCACCAGAGCTCCAATACACAAACACAGAGACAACCACACACACTTGATGCTCAACAAATACATATTAATAGTTTAATAAGTATTTACTTTCTAATAAGTATTTATTAACCATTATTTTTATGTGCTTGTCACTATAGTAAACAATTGTTGTTCAATAAAGAAAAACTGCTTTTACACAGAGCCCACATTCTAGTGTCGGGAGACAGAAAAAAGCAGCAAATAAATCATTAATAAAATCTATTCAGTCACTCATTGTGCATGAGTCTGAACTGACTCATATATGACAGCAAGTTTCTGAAGCTGTAAATTGCATGGGAGGAGAGTGGCCATCTGTACCTTGCAGAGCTGCTGGTGGATTGAAACCACCAGAGAGGTGTGCCCTTCGGGTAAGCAGCATAACTCCCAGCGCTCCCTAATAAAACCCTTTAGACAGCACTCATCACTATGGAAGATAGGAAAAGCAGAGCAGGGTACATTGAGAGCATTAAATAAGATGGGCTGAAATATCTAAAACATGAGATTGAATTCTCACTTACTTTGAGTTTGCAGCCTTCATTCTGACACAACTTTCTGACCAGGGCCCCAATAATGATCATCACTGATTCTCTGATGTCATTGCTCCCGAATGGACCTTTGAATTTACCCTATTAGTCAGACAGGGATAAAACAGGTTACCGCAATATTTCAACATTTCCAAGGATACATTTTCAGTTGAGGGAGAAAGCAACCAACACCAGAGGAAAATGTGCCCAAGATGGCACATTCACAATTTTGCTTTGGAACATATGCAGACTCATTATCTGAGTTGAAACTGAAAAGTTAATAGTATCTCCCCATCTTAAGTATTTTTCACTGTGGACTATGAATTCACTAGAGATTTAGGAATTGGATTCAATGGGTCAATGAACATATACAATTTTGTGTATGGTTGAAAAGGAGACTTGATTACTTTCATCCAATGCTAAAAAAAGCCCTTTGCTGAGAAAAGTTATGAACTAATCCACTACAATTTACAGTAACATTAAGTACACTTTTTAAAAAGATCACGGGATCCAAAAAGGTCTTTCTTTTTTTTTGTTTTGTTAAGTCTTGGAATACTTATTTGTGTTCTATATACTATGTATTAAATTGCCTAAAATTGTTTGAAGGCAGAACAAATCTTTCAAAATTTATTGTTGATGCGTAAGTAAATCTTTTCTTCTCTGATAATTTTCCATAACTGATATATGATTGATGAACACAATCTTTAAATTTCTATATAGTTTGTTATTAGAAGAATAGTAAAGATGATAATTTAAGTGAAATAGTTTACTGTACAGCTTAATGATTAATGGCTACGAATAGTCCTACCGAATTCAAACATGGATAATCACAAAACTCTAGTTTGCAACTTCCATTCTCACTGGAATGACCTTCAATTACTCCTTCTCTAGCCTGTTAGCAGCTGAGAATGTTTGAGTGTCCATCTGACTTACAATGAGGGCTTTCAGGAGTGCTTCATTGGGGTGGGAAGCAAATCCACAGGCATAGAGAAATCTCTCCTGGAGGATAATGCTACTGTCACTTTTGAAATCTAAATAATCCAAGATGGCTTCTAATGAGTCTGGAGTCTGGGCAGAGGTGACGGCATCCACCAGTTGAGGTCTGTAAGGAAAGTACAGTTCTGGATATTAATGTTTAAGACACTTAGGGAGTTACTAAAAACCCCCACCACTCACAAATTCCTCATTAATTTTATTCTCCCAAAGAAATGAAATCTTACTATCAGGAAAATATAACAAAATAGACCTTCTAAAAAAGACCCCACTTCTCTTTCTCTAAAACCATAAATAGTATGGAGTGAGGAAAAGGCATAGTTGGTTATTATATTGATCTATAACGTGTTGTTGTTGTTTGGCACCATTGAGTCAGAACCGACTCATAGTTGACCCTGGAGCAGATTTTTAGAGGAGGAGATCACCCATTTTTCTTCCATGAAACACTTACAGGGCAATTCCTTACCACTAATCTGTCAAAGTTCCAATATAATATAGCTTAGAAGTAAATAAAAAGGATATAAATAGCACTGTATATTAAGACTAATTATTTTCTAAGTTAGTAAAATGTAAAACATGTCATTGTTATGGACTATTGAGTCAGTTCTAGTTTATAGTGACTGCATTTACAACAGAGCCAAATACTGACCTAACCTGCATCATTCTCACAATCACTGCTACATTTGAGTCCACTGTTGCAGCCACTGTTGAAAGTCATCTCATTGAGGAGCGTCCTCTTTTTTTGCTGACCCTCTACTGTGCCAAGTATAATGTCCTCCTCCAGAACTGATCTTGTTGATAAAATATGTGGCATGAAGTCTCACCATCCTTGCTAAGACATACTTATTCTTTCTTGCTTAAAACTTAGTCTCCTTGTTGGATACCAGAATGAAAAGAAAGTCTTCTATTTAGAATGCAGGATCCTTTCTAGTAGCTCCCGTAGACATTCAAACTAATAGCTGCCATGAGAATTTTAACATACATATAGTGCCCAGTGGGACTAATTCCCAAAGTTTTATGTCATTATTATTCTAAACTATTTGCTTGTACTTGACTTTTTATTCTCAATAGCTGAACCATTATTATATGTGTAAAACAGAGCTTGAGAATTTATGACTTTACGTACATTTTGTTTTAATTAGTTTTATAGTTGGATTTCCCTGGTGGCCTCAACAATTAAGCACTGCCAGCCAAAAGACTAGCAGTTCAAACCTAACCAGAGGTACCTCGAAAGACAGCTTGGCAATGTACTACTAAAAAATAACAGACTTGAAGATCCCATGGAGCAGTTCAACTCTGAACATTTGGAATCACCATAAGATACCAACTAACAACAACAAATATGTGGTTAATCACATGGAATTCCCTAACATCATCGAGAGGGTAAAACATGTAACACACTGTCTCTAGAGTTCTATTTATAAGTGAAGTTGAAAATTTATAAGTATAGCTGAGGAAAGTATGAGTGACATAAAGTGAGTTAAACTTTCACCAAATACTCAAACCATAGAGATGGGTGTCATTTTCTTTTGATTAGTTATTTCAGCTCTCAATTTTCTCTCTAAAGCATGCCTTCAAAGAGAATGTTGTTGTTGTTGTTGTGTACCATAGAGTCCGGTGGGTTTTTGATTGCACAGGACGTGAGATTGCTAAATCTTCTGCAGACAGCTAGTGGCCTTGAAGTGCTTGCCTTTGGGATTGCAGCACAGCTTCTTGCCACTAGGCCACCAGAGCTCCTTCAAGGAGAATGATGACCCCATATATAATAAAAGGCCACTTTCCCACTGAAGAACTTATGTTTTTTCTTTATATTCCTCCCTCATTTTATCAACTCTGAAATCTTTTAAGTGTAAATTAATAGCTTAGGACCACAATTACAAAACAGCTCCTCAGCACAAGGAAGCCCTGCCCTCCATACCAATCTGGTACCTGTTTAGCCTCATAAACTCCAAAAAAATTAGTCTTCTAAGTCTTGGCTGAAAACTTACCCTCGTTTGTCTAATCAAGTGACTATTAAAGTATTGTATTCTGGTATAACTGAAGAAAATACAAAATGAAAAATCATTTAGTTGGATGTAGAATTAATTGTTGAGTAAACACCAATAGCTTAAAAGAGACTTCGTACAGAACACCCCTCACAGTGTGAGGAGGACTTACAGCACTTCCTTGTCCCCAGTCTTTAGGATCTGGAGGATCTCTTCTTTCTTGGCAGTCCTGAGGTGCTGGATGAAGGCCAGGAAGCTTCTGACAGCCTCAGTTTTAGAGAGGTTGTCAGGGAGTAGGTGCTTCTTGGTAAACTGCCAGTGCTCCAAGAGCTGCAAAAGAGGGAAGCAGCTCACACCCCACTCAGGATTCTGAACATTTCCAAAGATATGCACCCCAGAAAGGAAGCCTTCCTTTTATCTGGCAAGCAATAGAGGTAATATTTGAATCTTAATATACTTGATATATTAATGTCAATATACTCAATATACTCGATCTCTCCCATCCTTTCCACCTCATATCACCTCTGTGATGTTCAGAGGCAGATATAGCTTCTGTTCGTATATTGTTGTATACCATCGAGTTGGAACTGAACCATAGCTGACCTTCTGGAGGGTTTTCAGAGGCAATTACTCTAATGGGAGGAGATTGCCTTCATCTCATGGAGCACCTGGTGGATTCAAACTGTGAGCCTTCAGGATCGCAGTTCAGCTTCTTGCCACTAGGCCATCTGGGAGCTATTTACCTATTACTATTTAGCACAAATGTTTATCTAGTATTATTTATATCTCCTAGGGAGCTCTGATGGCCTAGTAGTAAGAAGCCGTGCTACAATCCTAAAGCATTCGGTTCAAATCCACCAGCTGCTCCACAGGAGAAGGATAGACAATCTTCTCCCATGTGATTTATTGCATCTGAAAACCTGCTGGAAGATGAGCTATCAGTCGATTCCAACTTAGAAGAACACAACAACAACATTTGGCTCAAAGGCAATTCTTAACTGGTTCTGAGCATATTTTTGTTGTTGTGTGCCCTCTAGATGACCCTTCACTTAGAGTTCAGAGACAGTTAGTAGCATGAGAAGAGATTGCATATCCTTCTCCCGCAATACAAGTCATTGCTACCAAATGATAAAACTTTCATGATTCAGACCCCTACGCACGCTCTTGACATCATGCACTTCAGCTAATTCCAAATATCTTTTAGATACTATTTTTAAAAAGACAAATTGTAGTATATTTCAGTTGTGATGTTGTTATTGTATACTGTTGAGCTATAACTTACCCAAAATTGATCTTTCAGTGGGTTTTCAGAAGCAGTGAATTAGTGTGGAAAGAGATTTCTCAACTTTGTCCTACAGAGTACCTGGTGATTTGGAACTGCAGTGCAGTTCCTTACCAGTAAGCCACCAGAACTCTCTACTGTGATGTTGCTGTTAGGTGCCATGGAGTAGGATTGATTCCTACTGTCCTTATGAATAAGAGATCTGAATCCTGAGCTATCCTGTCCCATCCTCAACATCTCTGACACATCTGAGCCCATTGCTGCACTTACTGTGTCAGTTCATCTGGTTGAGGATTGTCCTCTCTTTCACCAGTACTCTACCTTTCCAAACATGATGTCTCTCTATAAGAAATAGTCTCTACTAGAACTATGCCTAAAATATGTGAGACAGAGCTACTATAATGAGTAGGTGGTAATATTTTTTAATTATTAATGTGTTTTCTGTATCTTGGTTGCATAGAATACTCATACTTCAATTCAGTTGTTATTGTATACCATTGAATTGGAACTGGGTCATAGCAGACCCTCCAGTGGGTTTTGAGAGGCACCGGAGGAGATTATTATCTATCTTTCTTCCAGGGAACAGCTGGTGGATTTGAACCATGTGCCTTCTTACAGTGCATCTTCTTACTCGTAGACCACCAGAACTCCCTACGTCAATTGAGTAGTGGCTAGTATTTCTTTATAAAGTTTCTTCCTAGCATGAAGCTGGAGCTCCCATTGGAGACTCAGACATAATAGAGTTTGTAAGCACTGTTTTTTACACATTTTTCCACACAATGCAGCTGCGCACACTTACAGATGGGCATCCTTTACATTCGCTTTGGAAGCTCTGCCCCACAATGGGGATGGCTGTGTACTTGGAATCCACTGCCTTAATTGCTGCTCCGACCTGCTTTCCAGGTATCAGTCTGGGTCCTGCTTCAGTTGTCTTCAGCTCCAAGTGCTGCCTGCAAACAACAGAAGAGAAATTTCATCTTACCCCCATTCTTTTGAGTAAATAAGATACTGTACTTTTGGCAAAAATGATACTAATTTATCCAAGCAAAGCCGTTTCTTCCTAAACTGAAATATCTCAAGATCCACAATGCTGTCTTTCTGTCACAATAATTATGTTCAAATTTTAAAATAGTAAAACTAAATAGTTTGAAATATATGAAAAGAAAATACAGGGGAGAAAATTGGCCTGGATGCTGAACAAGATATGTGGTGTCAGCTCTTACTAATTGAATTCTGTTTTCTAAAACCAGTATTTTCAACACAACCACGTGGTCATTAATTAACTAAGACATTCAAGAAATGTTCTTTTAAAAAAAATACTCTCAACAACATGTTCCATATGTTCTCTTCACCTTCTCACTCTCCCATCAATAGGTAGGATCCATATCTTTGTCCTTGAACCTAGGCAGGGCTTCGTGATTGCCCTGACTGATGGACATGACTTTATGTGACTGGGTCATAAAAGATAATACAGCTTTCCTCTGGCATATTATCAGATACATGCTTTTGGTACCATAGGGCTGACCTGTGAGAAGTCTGGCTACCTCACACTCCCAGGCCAAGAGGCCGTATAAAGAAAAAGAGAAATGAGTGAGGAACTTCAATAATTTGAATTCTCCTAGCTCATCACGCACAAGATAGGTGAGGAGAAAACTGATGAATGATTTTAGTTCTGGCCAGTGACAACTTGCAACTATATAATAGACACAAAGCCAAGTATGTGTATCAGGGCCAAGTTATATCCTAGAATTATAAGAGAATAGAAAAATCATTTTTACTGTGTTATACCATTAAACTTGAGGTGGTTTGTTATTCAACAATGGAAAAAAGTATAAACCTAATAAGTAATTAAGACTATATATATATAGTTTCTTTGAAAAGATATTAAAACAATGCAGGTATAACAGGGTAGAATATAACATTTTGCTCCATGAAACCTTCAACACAACTTCAAACATTTTAGTAGGGGCAATCTCCCATGATTTTACATCCATTCACATTTATCATTATGTCTATTTCAGAGGAAACATTTTAAAGCAGAAAAGAAAAACTATAGTATTAAGGGTTGTCAAATTCTGAATTAAAACTGGGAAATAGCATATAATCTTACATTTAAAATTATAGTTCTTATTCTGATAAGATTTAAGTAAAAATTTATTTTATTTTAAACAACAGCCATGGATATTTATATTATAAATTATATTAAACATTTCTATCACGTTTCTTTACTATAGAATTTTGTAGGTGTTTCATTAAAAAGGAATCCTATAAGTATTGCTATTTTTTAAATTTTGTCATGAGAAGCATTTGACAGAGAAATTAAAATATAAACTGAAATGCATTGTTTCACATTTTAAAATTAGAACTGTAAACAATGGATTTTCAACAAATTTATATTTTTTCAAAAGTTATTAGGCGTTTATTACATGTTAGGTTTTATGGTAAATTGTGTTAAAATAAGAGTTTAAAAATATATTTATCCTTTTTAAGGAGTAAATAATCAAAATGAGAAAGTACTCATATGGGTAAGTCAACTCAACTCATCTATTGAGGCAGAACTGACTCACAGCTGAGTTTGCCTTGATTTTCCAAGAGTGCAGATCGCACTGGAGGAGATCACTTACCTTCCTTCCTTGGGGCAGCTGGTGGGTTCAAAATAGCAGAGAGGCAAAGCCCACGGGTTAGCAGTGCAAGTCCCTGTGGACTACACCACCGTAACTCCCCAGATGGGTATGATGATATAGAAAAGAACAGCAACTAAAATAAAAAATGTTAGCATTTTCTTACTTTGAAACTATTTTGCCAGTAACAGTCCGTAGGAAGTTCAGCCCAAAAGCATGTGTCTCCTCTGCGGTCACGGCTACCACAAAGCTGTCTTCTATCTTATAGGTAGTAACAGATGAGGCTTTCAAACTGACACCCAAGATCTACATTCAAAAGTAAAGAAACAGTTATTTGTCACAAATAATCATTTTTTAAAAAGTAAGGTAAATAGGGAGCTCTGGTGGCCTAGTGGCAGGAAGCTGCACTGCAATCCCAGAGGTGTGCGGTTCAATTCCCTAGATGCTCTGCTGGAGAAGGAGGGACAATCTCCACCTGTGCCAGTCAGATTCGATTTGACGGTACACACAAAAGTAGTAATAATTAAAAAAAAAAAGTAAGGTAAATAACAAGTTTTTAATTTTCAAAATAGCTCCCCTCTCAAATTCTCCTCTATATCTCCAACATAATTAGATTAGAGTTGCAGTTGGGAAACTATGAATGAATTATGAGCTCCTAACGTATATTCTAGTACATTATTCATCTATACTTTTAAGTAATTTTCTGTGAAATCTAGACTTAGAACGTCTTAAAGAATGTGATATTGTTAATACCTGGTTTTGGGTAGTAAACCCTGGTCTTGCTATTTTACATGAGTCCAAGGCCTTGATTTTGGTCACTTTGTCTTGTTGAGCTTGGTAGGTCACTTTGCAATCCCCTGAGATATCTACCTAAAAAGAGAAGTGCAGACATAATGTTTAGGATTCTTCCAAGGACCATTTGTATTCTTATGAGAAGTGGCTTTAAAATTGGGAATACCACTCACTGGGACAGCCTTCCCCCATCCCACCCCCATAGGCCAACTAGATTTAAAAAAAACAAACCCCAAAACATGAGAAATTTCATTTTTTTTCTGTGTCATAAAGATACTTCCCCCTTCTCTTTATTCAAATTTCACCAGCACTTTCTTACTGATCCCAGCATAAAAGAAAATATCCTACTTCTCTCTACTCTGGAAAAAATGGTTGGATAAATTAAATTGTGATAGTTGTGATCATGTGACAAGACAAATTGACTTCCAATGTGGAACCTAGGCTGTGCATTTGACTAAATAAGCATGGTAAAAGTTCTGAGAAAATTGTGTAAGTAATAAAACTTAGTATTAATCATGCCAAATATTTGAGTTTAGGCAAACATATCTCAGTCCAGAAATCATTCAACTTCTCAGAACTTTGCCCAGTCCCGCATACCCAGCTTTTATTCTAACAAGCTAACCAACATCTTCTTGGCCTGCTTCTCTGGAAAGACTTTCTCACCCACTTATGAATTTAGGCTAAGAAAGTTGGACCCAGAAAGAAAGTTCTACCCAGCTCTGCCCTTGACCACAGGTGTGATATTGAATGAACCATTCAATTTTTAGTTTAACTAGTTTAACCTCAGTTGCCTTGCCTAGAAAATATAGACTAGCAGTTCCCCAGACAATGAATCTAAATTATCTAAAGTAACTGTCAAGATACAGATACACAGGTCCTTGGTAATCAACTGAATCAGAACCCTGGAACGTGTGTGTGTGTGTGTGTGTGTGTGTGTGTGTGTGTATTCTTAATAAGCTTCTCACGGGATTGAGGTGCATTGTGATGAGTAGAAACACTGGAATAATACTAAATTCCAAGATTTTCTGCATCTCTAAGCTCTGGTAGTATCCTGTGTAACATATCAGGCTACTTGTAAAAGAAGATGCTGGAATAGTAAGTACCTCATTGTTGGTTCCAGAGCTTAACTGCATCTGAAATAGACTAGCCAGGCCTTTCTTGAGATTTTCTATGGCCACTGGTTCACTCTGATAGGAGTAGAAGTCTTTGACCTAAAAGAAGGGGGGAAAGAACAAATACATATCAAGGGGGAAAATGCATATTTATCAGCTTAATTTAACATTTATCAGAGTTAAATGAAAGGTAGGAAAGGTCATATTTTCATCCCACTAATTTTGGAGAAAAGAGTTCTGCTATTCCAATGCTGGGATGGAAAAGATGCTATGTAAATTTCTAAGAGGCTAGACTCCCTCAGAATATGACATTTAGGGAGACTAGCAATGGAGGAAGACCCTTAAACAGATAAAGTCACATAGTGACTATAGCAATGGTCTCAAGTATGTTAGTGATTGTGAAGATGGCACAGGATAAGACGAGGTTTAAATCTGCTTTCTCAGAGTCTCTGAGTCATACTTGATTGTATGGCACCTAACAATGACAACAACGTGATTCATACATGACCGGGAAGGAAAGAGAACACAAAGACAAATTGGGATTTCTGTGACAACAAAAAGGGAAACGGGGACAATTCCTCTAGAATCAGTGGACATGGCCATCTGTAATCTTACTCTAAGCAAAAACAACTCAAAGTTTAAAATAACAGCAAAAACACATTTTTTATACTTCCTTAAAAAGCTAGAAATAGAACTACCATCTATGCTGTCAATCCCACTACTAGGTATATATCCTAATGACATAAAAACTACAACATGAACATAAAATGCACAGACATGTCCATTGTAGATTATTTACAATATCAAAGAGATGGAAACATCTCAAGTCAACAGATGAATGAATAAAAAAAAACATGATATGTAATACTATGAACATATTTCCAATGGAATACTCTGAAAGAGTAATAAGGAATTTACAAAACACAGAATAAAAAATGAACCTAGGAGACATTAAACTGAGTGAAATAAATTGGTCACAACAGAACAAATATTGTATAAATCTGGTATTATAAAATGTTAAAGTTGTAGGTGGCTTGATGACACATAACAACAACAACAAAAGTTTATAAACAGAAAGAAATATTCTTGAATGGTTACCAGGGATGGGAGAGGGGGAATAAATAGATAATGGACATGGATTAATAAGGATAAATGGAAAGGCTAAATATAATAAGAGTTTGATAAGGAAAAAAGATAAAGTTCTTAGAAATGACTAGCAACCACCAGTGTTGAAGCGTACAGTATGGAACAGCCATAAAGAGCCAGTTATGACCACATATCAAGAAAGTAACACTTGCCTGAGGACTGCAGGAGCAGTCATATTGATCTAGGTTATATTGATCTGGTCATATTGATCTAAGAATACAAAAGGTGGAAAGACTTGAGGTTGAGACTGCTATCTCCTCCTGCTTCTGGCCCTGAAACTTTTCAAAATCAAGGAATAGAAGTCAAAATAGGAAGAATGGCTGATTTAGTAGCAGTTGGAATGCAAGCAGCTTATCTTTGCCTCCCCATCCTTGATATTGATAGACACTGGGATAATAATGGAGTCTTATAACCATTTTGTTAACTTAGCTCATGCTTAGGACAAAAATACAAAGTAAATTTTCTGGAACGCAGCATGCTGACTTTCTCTTTGTATTAACTCCAAATTTATCACACAGTACAGAAATAGGGCATAGATTGCTATCTTCCATGTAAAATTTTCCTATAAAAATTCCCAAGGTCTATGATATTTATAGCTGAGCATTTCAACCAGGAATATCCTGTCTTGCTATTTCCCTTTAAAACCATCCCTGACTTGTCTCAAAGTAAAGCAAAAAGCCCAGTAATTGTCCAGTGGGCTCATTTAATACCAATCTGAATAATTCGGCTTGCATAAAATGTCATATCTCAAAAACAGGAAATATTTCATCTGATTTCTCCAGATTACTGCCTCAAATTTCTGCTTTTTTACTTTCTCTGTACACTGTGCCTGGTGACGTATTTACCTTAATTGGCAAGCCATTTTAGTCATTGCACTAGACGAAACTATAAATGTTGCAATAGCCTTGGTCCCGGTTAAAAGAGAACTGGAATAGTGACTTCAGTGTCTGAAAATCTATGGTATCATATTCTCAAACAAATCACTGGCAATACCTCAGACCTCAGCCTGAATCTTTTTATGTTCCATTTTGCAAACTGAGTCTTCTTTCCTTTGGTAATTACGGTGTCACTTTTTTTTGTCAAAATGTTTGGTGGTATGCTATTTGAAGAACTATGGTGACTACTCTGAGTTGCCATTGAGTCAATTTTGAGTCATGGTGACCCCAGATGCGCCAGAGTAGAATTTTGTTCTGTAGAATTTGCAATGAGTAATTTTCCAGGGGTTCACCAGACCTTTCTTCTGAGGCATCTCTGGGTTGGATTCACCCTCCAAACTTTCAGGTTGTAGCCTAGCAAGTTAACTATTTGTCCCACCCAGGAACTCCTTTCAGGCTATGAGAAGTTTATATTTTGGCCACTTGATTTGACTCACATGGTCTCAATGCATTCATGTCAATGACACAGGCTCCTTGGTATAAGTTTTAAAATATTTTTCAAAGCAAGAGGTGGGGTGGCATTTGTTGTTGTTGTTGTTATGTGCCATCGAGTCGTTTGCGACTCAGAGCAACCCTGTGTACAACAGTCCTAAACCCTCCTCTATCCTGTGCCAATCGCATTGCCTCTGACACACCCATCCTGATTACCCCCGTCACTGAATCAATCCACATCATAGAGGGTCTTCCCCTCCTGCGCTGTCCCTCTACTCTACCCAGCATGATGTCCCTCTCCAAAGACCTGTCTTTCCTTACAACATGTCCAAAGTATGTCAGATGAAGCCCCAGAATCCTTGTCTCCAAGGAGTAGCCTGGTTTAACCCTCTCTAGGATGAATCTGTTTGTTTTCTTGGCAGTCCATGGTACATTCAATACTCTTCTCCAGCACCACAGCTCAAAGGCGTCAATTCTCCTTCTATCCTCCCTAGTCATTGTCCAACTCTCTGATGCATAACAAGTGATTGCAAAGACCATGGCCTGTATCAGGCACACCTTAGTCTCCAGAGAGACACCGTTGCTCTTGAGTACTTTAGAGAGGTCCCTAACAGCAGACTTTCCCATCGTGATATGTTTTATGATTTCCTGGCTGCTGGTGCCAAGAGTGTTGACTGTGGAGCTGAGCAAACTGAAGCTGTGAACAATCTCAAACTCTTTGCCATCCATCCTGATGCTACCAATTGGTCCAGTGGTGAGAATCTTTGTCTTCTTGACATTGAGCCTCAGTCTATACTGAAGCATTATATGGGAAAAATAGAACCATTCCTATCCCCACTTCCAGCCTACAAAAGAAGTCTGACCTACTTAGAAAATTTTACCTAAAATTTCAGGAAAACCAGTTTCTTATGTACACATAAGATCAAGTATTCTCAACTGGATCTTGGTCCCTAACAAAATGGTGTTAGACCCCTTTTCCTCCCTTTAAGGCTGAACAACAAAACAAAACAATGACACAAAAGGGAAACTGTTCATTTCCTCCCTTCATTTGATCTAAGCATTTTTGATAGTCAAGAATAAATTTCCACTACTTGGAATATGTTGTTGTTATGTGCCGTCGAGTCGCTTGCGACTCATAGCAACCCTATGTACAACAGCCCTAAATTCTGCTCTGTCCTGTGCCAATCGCACTGTCTCTGACACTCCCATCCCAATTACTCCAGTCACTGAATCAATCCACCTCATAGAGGGCCTTCCCCTCCTCTGCTGTCCCTCCACCCTACCAAGCATGATGTCCTTCTCCAAGGACTGGTTTCTCCTTACAACATGTCCAAAGTATGTTCATAACAAACTGTGGCTGACTCTGAGAAGAATGGGAATCACAGAACACTTGATCATGCTAATGTGAAACCTATACTTGGACCAGGAGGCAGTCGTCAAAACAGAGCAAGAGAACACTGCATGGTTCAAAATTGGGAAGGTCATATGCCAGGGATGCATCCTATCTCCATACTTGGAATATACCCAGAGAAAATGAGAACTGAGGCACAAACTGAGATTTGTACATCAATGTTGATAGCAGCATTATTCACCATTGCAAGAACATAGAAATGGCCCAAATGTCCAACCACAAATGAATGGATTGAGAAATTATGGTACAGTCACACAATGGAATACTATGCAGCAGGCAAGAGCAATGATTTTGTAAATTATTACCTAACTTGGGAGGGACTGGAGAACATTATGTTGAGTGAACTAAATCAGTCCCACAAGGACAAATATTGTATAAAACCATTATTGTAGAATAAGCATAAGAATCCAAGATGGTAGGAGAGGTTAGAAGCAGAGGAATGAGGATGTGCAGGGAAGGGGTGTATTAATCATGGGGCTGTACATTTGATCGGTGAGGGGGTGAGGGTAATTGAAAGAATTGGTTCTTTAAAACAACGTATTCAAATTTTGTAAATAAACTAGTAGAAAAAAGAATATATTTCCAGAATTTCTATTCTGGAATAGATTTCTTTTTCTTTTTGGCTTTTTGGTAATAACTCCTCTGGGGCTTATATTTTTTTTTCTTCAGTGCTAACAGATAAGATTCAGAGTATATCTCCTGTTAGCTAAATTTCAAAACTGTCTTGGAACTGAGTTGGCTTGCAATTAAAAAAGAGAAGAAAAGAAAGTCAAAACTTTGTAGTTCAATCCACGTGGCCATAAGAATAATAATCTAAAATTCATTATTTCACAACAGGAACTGGGTAAGTTTTCTTATACCCAGGCCATAAAGCTGATTACTTCATCAGTATTGAAATGAATTCTCAACATCTGAGAGCACACAGGAATCTTATCTAAATTCACAGCCCCCAGTGCCTCCGGAGACTTGAAGTAAGTACAACATGGTTACAAACTAAGCCTTTTAACTCAGAGAAAGCATGCAAAGGGAGATGAGAGGACTTTGGGAAAGGTGAAACAGTGTCTCTGTTGCTCCAATTTCAAGGGCTCCTTCCCCTACTGAGTCACTAGGCATTGCACATCATGTTTTACCAAGAGGAATATGCCTCTATCTATAGATTCCACTAATTTTCAAGA